ACAAATTAAAAAACGTAATTTAAGCATGTAATTAATTATTTCACTAAAATTTTAATAGAACTAATGTTGCAAGAAGGTATGCATGACTTGAAAGTGGAGTATGCCAAGTGACATAGCCACCATAAAATCGTGTGATATATCTTCTATGTTCTCTAGTTCTATTTTCATCTCAGAGTAAAATAGAAAGAAAATTAGAGTATTTTCTAATTCACCTTCTTCTCATGCTTGTAAAAGGATGCTATATAAAAAATCTTCAATCAAAGAATTCAATAAAAAATATGACCTTGAACTTTCTCTAAAGTTACAACTTTTACTTAGAAAACCCCTTGATAAATAACTATTGATATCTTCACTTTAGTACTTATAGTCTCAAATGATCATTTTTATTGGAGTTCATTATTTCATCTTAGAAATACATACTAATATATTAGACAATATTTTCTATACTTGGGACTTGATTTGAAGATTTTTAACTAATCAACAATCATATATAGTGTTAAAGCTAGATTTTTTATATTTTAATTAGTTTGATTATTTTATTTTATTTTATTTTATTAACTTGCATAATAAATATAGGATATGTTGTTAATTTTAAAAGTCTAAAGTTAAAATACTTAGTCTAGTTTTTTATTATTTAAAATATAAAATAATAAAATATAAAAATATTATGCTTGTTGGCAAGCCCACACTCAGCAACTAACCTAGAGGGACGTTGCGATTGAATGGGTAGACCCAAACTAGGGGAGCCATGAGTTGGGCCTAAGTGGTGAAGAACTTGCTCCACACATGTGTGCGACTTCCCTGCCACGTCCCGATAGCCAACCAATTGTGGAGCAACAAGCATCCGTACGCATGTGCGTGCATGAGGGTGGACCACTTTTTTGCCTTCTCCTAAGATAGTCCTAGGTATTATTTTATTTTAGGAGAAAGGATCTCTAATGAGAGAGGCTAGCTTTGATTTATATTCGGCTGATGTATCCATAATATTTTTGATGTGAGACTAAAGGTTTTTTATATCTTAGGACAACCATTTAGAGTGAGGTGTGATCTAGTGGTATTTAGCAAGCCACATCATCAGACGAGTCATCTCTTGTGGTGGGTGACCCACCATAATATCAGATGCGTAAAGCAATCCATCGGCAATTCGTGAATTCAACACCACTTAGCACACATGTGGCCTTAAAGGATAATCTAACAGCTAAAGAGTCACCATGGTACTAGGGACTTAAGATCCCAATTGGCAACAGTTCGTGGCAAGTTGATCATGTGTTGCTTAGCATGTCAAGTGACCAAGCACATTTGATCCAACAACTCATGACACACCATGATACTGAAAACTTAAGTTGTTGCACGTATCACTATCAAAGATATAAACACAATAATTGATTATTTTTTGGTAAAACATACATTCTCAATTATCTTTAAATCCTGACAACAATCATGGATACAATAATCTATTTCTTTCCTCATTTTGCACAATCAATGCCTCCAGCAATTGACAAGTTCATTCCTTCCTCCCCTAACTACACTTAAGGCCTCTAGCAAGTGGTTAACTCCTCGCTTCTCCCCCCAGATGACGGTGGCAATGTGGCCGACCCCTCTTTCAATAGATCTCTTCACCAAGCAGCACAACACTTCTGGATAATACTTCTATGACTTTTGGCATAGTGTGGTATGTTTGGACAAAATCAAGTTACCACATTGATGTCTTCAATTGCCTGAGAGGCAAACTAAACTTGGGCAACGATTTATTTTCTACTTTCAGTATTTACTTACCTCTTTTTGTCATTTATTTATATTTTATGATAAGTTATTTTCATTTCATGCATGTTTCAGTTAAAATGAGTAGAATTAATTTAAAACATGAAGAATGATCTTCCTTCTTCTTCTGAATCCTTCAAAACTTGTTTGAGATAAGCTAAGATCATTTTCAACTTATTTTCTATTAATTTTTGCAGTCAAATCTCAATGAATTCATGTTCATGGTGTTCCATGAATAACGCTTATTCTTCTATTTTCAAACATGAAATCAACAAGATTAAAGGCTGCTTAATAATTGTTGAGCTGCTAGAACAATGTGGAGACATTCATGACTGACCTCATATCATGTGTGTGAATTTTCGAGTACACATTTGTCCAAGAATAATGGTCACTGTGAAAATGGATTGACTGTATTTCTCTCTTTCCTTATTATTGTCTTATTTCTCTCTCTCCTTCTCTTGTGAGACTACTTATTCTCTCTCCATCTCTCGTAAGATCTCTCCTTTTCTCTCCCTCTCTCTCGATCGATCTCCTTCTCTTTCTCTCTCTCAATTGATCTCCCTCTCTCTTCTTCTCTCTCCCTCTCTCTCATGAGACTTTTTTCTCTCTTCATCTCATGTGAGATTTCCTCCTCTCTCTTTCTCTCTTTCGCAAAAGATCTCTTCTCTCATCTTTCATGAGAGCTCTCTCTCTTCTCTCTTTTCCTTCTTCCTTTTCTCTATTTTCCTTCTTTTATTCTTCTCACCTCATCCTTCTATTTTATTATTTCTGTTAAATATTAATAATATATTTAAATCACTTTATATATAAACTAAATTAGTTTTCATGATAGATTAATCAATCTCCTTGTGTTCGACCTAAAACTTACTTCTATACTAGTATTTTATTAAGGCTTAGTTATAATTATTATTAGATGATGTGTATTTAAGCACAATGACAAGTGCACATAATTCATTATTAGGTCGAGTCCAAATAAGGTTGTTAAGTTTGTCATTATCTTCACATATTATATTGATATATTACTATACATAATGCGTGACAATGATCTTTGTTTGTTCCTTACTTCGAAGCTTGCTACTTTAACATTTTTTGTATTTGAAACTATCTTGAGATTCGTCACTTATCAATGATTATCTTTGCTTTTGAGGTCAAGTTCAAATAAGTCTATTTTGTCTTTCATTATCTCCATGTGTTTTGTCAACATGTCATTGTCTATAATGCATGATAATGACTTCTTTTTTTCGTGATTTTTAGATGTCTTCTTATAGGCACTTCAGATTTATCATTGTACAAGATCAAGTTTGAGTGTTGTTGGAGACATTGATGTTTTAATTTCTTCACGCATTTCTTCACTCAAGGTTCTAGTTTATCTTCTTTTATGTTCTGAATTTGAGTGCTGCATTGACTTTATATTATTTCATTATTCATATATTTTTCTCGCTGAGGCTTCTAACTTTTTGTCATTCAGGTCTTGAGTTTAACTTCTACTAGTGACTCTGATATTTTTATATTTTTCAGATACTTCATCAATTGACATAATTTATGTACTTATATATGAACTTTATGTTGTTGCATTAAATTCAACATATAAATATATCAAATAAATAACCCTTAGAATTTGTTTGTTAAGCATAGGATTACTCAAACATCATCAATATACACTTTGAATATTTCTAAGAGATATTAATCTTCTAACATAAGCCTTCACAAAATCTATTTAATATTAAGTAAATAATTAGTTAATATATATTTTTTATAGTACCAAAACCAAGGGCATCAACATATCTCACTAATATGGTATACTTCAACAGGGCTACACTTCTTTGTTCATTACTCTTATCCCAAAGAGTCAAATTGTATCTAAGTTTTTAGAATTTTGACCAATTAATCTTTGTAACTTCGTCTACAAAATTATTTATAAGATATTCACATATGGTAAAATTATCCTTGAGTGTCATAACTAATATAACATCGATGTGTGAAATATCTTCTATGTTGTCTAATTTTTATGTTCACCTCAAATATTAAAAGAGAAATAAGATTAGAGTATTTCTATTTTGGTCTCTTCTCCTCTTCAGAAAGTGAGGCTATATCAAAAATCCTCAATCAAAGCTTGATAGTGATTAAAGTGAGGCCTTGAACTTTCTCTGAAGAAACAACTTTTACATTGAAATCCCCATTGATAATGATTCAGAGGGTGTTCTTCTAAAGCTTGATAATCCCCTCTTATTTTTCCGTGTGCCAATTCTCAAAGAGTCTAACTTTTTATAATTATATCGTTCTTTTCCTTATTCCAAAGAGCCTATTTTTCCTTTTTTTCTTCTTTTTTTAACTCCCTCTCAATGAGGTGAGTTTTTTCTTTTTCTCTAAAATAGGAATACTAATTAGAGAATATCTGAATTGATTATACCCAACAAAATTCAAATGCAGAAGGGGGCTTAAAGACTTCAACGGAGGGGATATTCAATATCTTGGACCCGTCAACTCCATCCTCCTCAACCCATTTTATAAATTCTGCGGGCATGCCCTCCAACTTAAGATCCTTGAGGGTCCGCATGCCCTCCATCTCCTGTGGCAGGGATTCCAGTCGGGGGCACCAGCTGATGCTGAAGCAGACGAGCGATCCCATGGCCCCCTCCGATAGTCGCAGCAGCCGGAGCCCCTTCAAGTCACAGAGACGGAGCTCCCGTAGCCGGGGAAACCCGGCTGCTGAGCAGGCCATCTCATCTCCGACGAACGCGCCACTCCACATCCTGAGATTCTCAAGGTAGGGCATCTCCTCCAGCAGAGTCAGCGGGTCCTGTTCTAGTCGGCACCCGACCAAGTGATGGTGGTGACATTCTGTGGCAGGTTTCTAGCCACCAATCCGGAGACCTTCCTTGTCGGCCACTTCATCAAGTCCAGGCCCAGCACGTTGGGGACGCAGCGCCTCCAGCAGAGTCAGCGGGTCCTGCTCCAGTCGGCACCCGACCAGGGTGATGGCGGTGACATTCTGCGGCAAGTTTCCAGCCACCACTCCGGCGACCTTCCTTGTCGGCCCCTTCGAGATCAGCTGGTGAAGCCCCGCGTGGCCCGTCAGGTCCAGGCCCAGCACGTTGGGGACGCAGCTCCCCCTGCAAGAAGTTGAGGCGCTTCAACCTCCTCTGAATGGCCTCTGAGAGCGCCTTGACATGACCTTCTGATACGTCCACAATCGTCAGCTTCCGGAGATTGGAGAGCTTTCGTAGGCCCACCTCCACTCACGTGCCGGCAAACGCTTTGTGAAGCGTTTGCAACTCTGTTAGGGTTCCGAAGGAGGAGGCCTGTGGTTGGGAACGATCAGCGGACAGGTGCCTCAGAGTCTTCATCCTCTAGACACCCTGTGGGAGAGTGATCCTGAAAACATTCCTAATACCGAGTGTCTGCAGCTTGCCGAGCTTGTCAATGGAGGACGGGAGGCTGACAAGCTTGGTGCGCCTGTGGCCCAAGAAGGCCAGACGGACCATGTGTAAAAACAAATGATACAATTTTCTAGGAGAAAATATGGATTTTGGGAGAGAAGAGGAGAGGAGAAGAGGAATTTCACACAGAAAAAGACCATTGAATAACAGCCGTGAGGAGAGAGAAAGAGAGTATTTATATCCTACATAAATGCCCTATGTCGGCCACCACCCTTTGGCCCACTAAAAACAAAATAGATCGTCTTTTGAGCCCAATAAAGATAAAATACTAAGCCTAATAAAGATAAAAAATAGTACGGCATCTCTAAGTTTTTACATTAACTACTAACACTCCCCCTTGATGCAAAAACATCTAGCACCAAGAGCTTCTCTAAATTTGACGAACTTAGTATAACTCAATGCCTTTGAAAACCATATGCAACTTGATCCAATGTTAAGCAAAACTTCACTTCAATAAAATTTACAACCAAATATTAAATAAAATGATGACGAATTTCAATATGTTTCATTATTCCATGAAATACTAGATTATTTGTAATTGATATAGTTGAAATGTTTTCGCAATATATAACCATTGGTGTTGATTGTGGTCAATTGACATCTTCTAAGATTATCCACATTTCATATTGCTTACTGTGCAATCATTGATGCATCAATATATTGAACTTCTGATGATGATAATATTGTATATTCTTACTTTTTTGAAGTCCATGAAGTTATATATAAACTAAAACTAAAAACAAAACTACCTGTACTTTTTCTATCATCAATAGAACATATCCAATCACAATAAGAATAATTATAAAATTTAACTTCACAATCATGTTGATATAAAATTTCATAATTTAAAGTGTCTCAAACATGTTGAAGTATATGCTTTGCTACTCCAAGATGATGAATCAATGAATAATGAATGAATCTCAAAATCATGCTAACTAAAAATAATATATCTAGTTTTTTTATGAGCCAAATACATTAATTCACCAACCAAACTTCTATAAAAATGTTAAATTATTTTACAGTTTCATCATCAAGACATAATTTGTCATTAGTATTTGTAAGAGTAGAATAAGTCTTGTAATTAAACATATTAGACTTCTTTAGCAAATCAGATGCATACTTCTCTTGTAAAATAAATATATCATAATCATTTTAGATAATTTGAAGTCCAAGAAAATAATGAAGCAGTCCCAAATTAATCATATCAAATTCATCCATCATAGAAGTTTTGAATTATGAAATTAATGACAAAGATGATCCAATATAGGTAATATCATCAATATAAACACATACAATCAATCTTATCCTTCAATCTTGACATAGTGTATTGACTCATTATCACTTTGATGAAAATTATACTTATGAAAATATGAATCAAGTCTATTATACTATGTTCAAAGTGTTTGTTTAAGACTATATAGTGACTACTTCAATTTATGAACTTTATTCTCTCTCCCACTAATAAAAAAACCTTAGGGTTATTCAACATACACATCTTCATTCAAATAAGTATTTAAAAATGTTGATTTAACATCAAATTTAAATATTTTTTATTTCATTTGTGCTGTCAAAGCCAAAATAATATGAAATATTTCAAATCTTGTAACTATAGAAAAAGTTTCAAAGTAATCAATACTTCATTATTGTTTATATCTCTTCACCGTTAACCTTGTCTTTTATTTTTTAACATTACCATCATGTTTATACTTCACCTTATAAACCTATTTGACACCAATGACTTTAGTCTTTCACAAGAAGTTCATTAACTCATGTGTCATTCTTCTCAATTGTTGTAATTTCTTCTTTCATAGCCTTCTTCCATTTAGCTTTTACTTTGTGCCTCCTCATAACTTGTTGGCTCTATAACCATAAGAGCAAAAACATATGATTCATAAATGTTACTTAATGATCTCATTTTTCTTGGAGGATGTGATGAATCTAGACTTGAGTTATTGTGGCTATGAAAATCAGAGTTTCTTGAAGACTCTCTCCAAGGTGAGCTAGATGATGTAGGAGCTTCAACCATTAAATCTTCACTGAATTACATAAATTCTTGACCTATTTCATAATAAGATATTTGAAAATTTTTATTTTTACTCTAATTTCAATAGTTCTATTCATCAAATACAGCATCATGACGAATCAATAATTTTTGTGTTTCAAGATTATATAAATGATAACCCTTACTTTCATTACTATAGCCAAGAAAAATACATTTCTCACTCTTTTTGTTCATTTTTCCACAATTTTCAGAATTAATTAATACATATGAAATATAACCAAATATTTTTAAATGACCAACATTTGGTTTCTGTTGTTACCACATATCATAAGGATACATTCAAACCTAATTTAGTAGGAGAAATATTCAAAAGATAAATAGATGTTGCAACTACTTTAACCCAAAATCATTTAGAATATGTTTCTCATTAAGCATTCTTTTAGCCATATGTACAATTTTATTTTTTCTTTCACCAATATCATTTTACTCCAAAGTTTTTCTAATTGTGAGGTGCCTTCTAATGATATGTTTCTTAGAAATAACTCAAATTCAAAAGATATAAATTCTTCCCCTCTATATATTTGAAAGGTTCCACTTGATTTTTCAGCAAAAGCTTTGAACTAAATAAATTTCTTAAATGCATCACATTTTTGAGAAAGAAAATATACTCAACTCATGCATGTAAAATCATCAAATCAATAGAAAATATCAATTATCATTCAAAGATGGTGCCCTCATTAGATGACACCAACATGCAATAATTCAAAGATAAATCTTGCTCTCTAAGATTTATTATTAGAATGATAATCAATGTTGTTTGTCATCAACACATCCTTACCACACTTCATTATTTGTTGAAATAGATGGTAAGCCAAAAATTATATATTTGTGATATAATTAACTTCAACATATTAAAATGCAAATGACTATATTGTAATTGTCAAAGTGAAGATGAATTATTATATTTACTAATCATGTTAAATTCAATGTCTTGAAATATCAAAATGAAACATCATTTTTCTAACTTTAAGAATCACCATAGGAGACATACTACTTGATAACACATCTATCATCTTCAAAATGAACAATATAATCACATTCTAACAATTGACCCACACTAAGGACAACTATCTCTCGAACACAAGTTTAGATTCGGCCTCAATGGGAAAATGGAACACTTAACAACACATCTTCATAGACCAAGAACTACAAGATCATCCCTTTCACTCTAGGATGATAGAGAATTGTGTGCTAATTTTAGAACAAAATAATCAAGGTATTTGCACCTAATTTTGTATGAATAATAATAGCATTAATGCCTTCAATTTTCACACTATTTTCATCACTAATTTTAACATCACATACCATAGATGTATTAATATTTTGAAATAATTCTCTTTCTCTTGTCATATGACTGTTACAACTACTATTAACACACCTAATGTTTGGTTTACTTATACTTGAAGATGCAAAAGTAAAGAATAAATTATTTTGATTATTTTCTTCAACAATATTTACTTGTTCTATTTTTTTATCCCAGAAATTTACTTTAACATATATATACTTTTTGCAAAAATTACACATTGGCTTAGAACTTTCTTCTCCAATATTTTCTTGTTGTTTTACCTAGTCCTAACAATATGCTTCAATATGTCTATATTTCTTACAAAAATGACATTGTATAATTTTATTTTTAATGTTGGTTGTTTCCACGATTATGTCTTTGTTATCTATAGTTAGATCTATTATTTCTTCTTCTATGAACTTGATTGTGAGGCCAACAGAGCAAACTTTATGAGACCCTAGGCCCCCTTCTCCCAAATATTATCAATAACCACTAATTACCTCACCTTATCTAGGGAGGCTCTGAGCTTCTTCACCAGCTGCATGTCTTTCAATTTCCTAGACTCCTTCATCCCTTCCCCTGGGACACAATCTAAGATACTCCTTAGAAGTTCAATGGGCATGAATTTATGGCTAATAGTGACCCAAACTCTGCACTGAAAATGACACTTGACTGCATAGCTGATGTAGATCTTCCTAGTGATGGTGGTCTTCCTTATTCCTCTCATTCCCACCATGGATATGATTGTAGGCTTGCCTTCCTCATTCAACAGCTGCTCAATAATGGATCGCTCGGCCTCCACAAATCCCACATATAGGCAAAGTAGGCAGATTCATCTACTGGTATGATTCTTCCTTCAAAGACCTTCATCTGGTCATAAATCTTGTGGAATCTCCTCCTGGAATCTTCAATGCAGGTACCCAATTTGTGACAAGCAGAGCGTTTGCCCACACAGATGAGGAAGCTCACCAAGAAGCCTCTGAAGCCGCTGTGTTTCTTCTGGTTGATCATGAGACTGAAATCATTGATGATGTCCTCAGCTTCAAAGGCCACTTCTCTCAGCTGCGGGACCATTACCTCTGCCAAAATCTGCCAAGATCTCTCAATATCTGCCAGGTATGTGTTCATGAACCTGAGTTCTCTTTGCAGGGATTCAACCTGCGGCTTGACTTCAGTTAGCAGGTTGATTTTCTAGGGAGAGCACCTCGTCCAGTCTCTTCAGGATCAAGCTGATGATTGGATTATCCATTACCTACAGGGCAAGAAATCATTTGATGGGGCTCAAGCTCGAGATTCTTGCTCTGTTAGCAGTTGCTGTCATGGAAATCAGATTGGATGAACGATGGGAGAAGAAAATGATGGGTTCCGAGATGAAGTAGAGATGGGAGGTACTTGGTGATGGAAGAAAGGGGAACCCAGATATCAATCCCGACGTCTGGAGCGGAGTCGTTGACCGTAGACCGGGTCGATCTGATTGAGTAGGTGGACTAGTGGGGACCAGGTGGGGCAGCCTGGTGTGGGGACGGCGGTCCGGAATGGTTCAGACTGGCGAAGCGGTCAGGCTCAGACGATGCGGCCAAGCTGGTTTTGGCCTGGCGGAAATGGGCTGTTCGGGCCGATCGGAACCAGGTTCACGAACAGGCACGGATTTAATGTAACCACGATAGTGAAAAATGATTAAATGTAGTATACTGTCTACTTCACTAAACATCTAGTAGGACCTAAGGATGTAACATATGTAGTAATTGAGAATAGAGTATATTAGGTCATCTAACCACTATAAAATTGTGTGAAATATCTTTTATGTTGTGTAGATGCTATATGCATCTCATAGATTAAAAGATAAACGAAGTTAAAGTCTATATGCACCCTCTTCTCCTCCTTGTGAAGTAATGGTATGGAAAATATCCTCAATCAAAGCTTTCCTAAAGAAATATGGTCTTGAACTTTCTCTAAGGTAACAACTTTTACCATCGGCAAGTGCCCGTTGCTAGAATCCCTCCCGGAGGAGATGGCCTGCTCGGCGACGGGTTTGCTTGTGGAGACGGCTTTGCTGGAGGCGCTGCCCCTCGTGGATGTCGAGGAACTGATTCTTCCCTCCTTCATCCCTCGCGAGATCGAGGAAAAGATCGTGGATCCTGCATGTGAGGACCCGCCCCAAGGAATCTCTGTACCCCACCTGAAGAACGGACCTGTTTACGAGCTTCTCGAGGTGCTGCTCCGCTGTTTCTTCCAAGGTGAGCCCCGATGCCTGCTCGATGAACCCTTCTGCAACCCACAGTTGGACCAGCTTGGTGGCGTCGATCTCCATGTCCTCGGGGAAGAACCCTATGTAAAGGAAGCATATCTTCAGGTCGTCGCTCAGATCATCATAGCTTAAAGCTATTATGTTCTTGATCATCTCGTCCCTTTCTGTGCTCAGTTCCTGGGTAAGACGCTGGCAAATAACCTCCCACTCGTATCTTCTCCTCTCCTCTCGATCAGCAGGCCGCCGAGGACAAGGACCGCCAGGGTCAGGCCGCGGCATCTTCTCACCATCTCCTTCCCCACCTCCTCCAGCTCTGGGGGGCACCCCTCGCCGCTGGGAAACACCTTCGCGCAGAACAATTCCCAACTCTCCTCCTCGCTCAGAAAGGCAAGTCTGTACCTTTCTCCCTCGGTATACATGGCAACAGCCTCTATGCGGGTGGTGATGATCACCCTGCTCCCGGGGGAGCCCAGCAGGGCGGAATTTATGAGACCCCAGGTCCCTTTCTCCCAGATATTGTCGATGACCACCAGGTACCTCGCATTCTCCAGGCAGGTTCTTAGCGTCTCCACCAGCTGCATGTCTGTCAAGTTTTTGATCGCCAGCTTCTCTATCCACGTCTCCGGGATGCAGTCTAGGATGCTCCTTAGAGTGCTCCGCAGAAGTTCAGTGGGTGTGAATTTCTGGCTAACAGTGACCCAAGCTCTGTAATCAAAATGATGTTTGACTGCCTCGCTTCTGTATATCTTCTTTGCGATGGTAGTCTTCCCTGTTCCTCCCATTCCCACCACGGATATGACTGCGAGCTCGCCTTCCCCATTCAACAGCTGCTCCGTCATGGATCGTTCGGCCTCTGCAAATCCCACGACGCTCAGCCCCCGGGACGGAGCAGAGTTCAGCATCTCAGACGTGCCTCGCGCCGCAGAGGAGAAGGGGATTCATCCGCAAGTCTGGTTCTCCATTCGTGGATTAATATCTGGTCATAAATTTCGTGGATTCTCCTCGTAGCATCTTCGATGCGGGTGCCCAGTTCGTGACGGGCAAACGTTTCTCCCACACAGACGAGGAATCTCACCAGGCAGCCTTTGTTGTGAACGGGGAGCCTTGCACGTCTTTTCGCGTAACGGCATAGTGCGGTTATGCGAGAAGTGCTCTGACGTATACCGGAATTAGGCAATGCGGGATTTCCTGCATAACGCACTGTACTGGCCAGTTTTGGCCAGCTAGTTATTGCTTACGGTTATTCCTTTTTCCCCCTTTTCCTCCCTTATTTAAAGAGGGCTGTAAGAGGTTTTTCCTGTAACTCGTGAGGTGATCTCGCCGGCGACGTCTTAACTGCCATCGTCTCTCCGGCGAGTTTCTAACAGCCTTTGATGCCGTTGCGTTTCTTCCGGACAATCGTGAGATATAAATCGTCGATGATGTCCGCAGCTTCAAAGACCGCGTCTCTCAGCAGCTGGAATAGTTCCCTCACCGGAGCTGGAACTTGAGCTCCGTTCCAGTCCAAATGTCGAATGAATAATTTTATGAGCCAGAGTTCCACCTTCAGGGCTCCGAACTGCTGCTCGACTTCAGCTAGCAGTTTGCTTTCCTGCGAGAGCAGCACGTTCAGTTTATACAGGACCAGGTTGATGGTTTCATCATCCATTGCCTGCAAATCTGGAATTTATTCGATGGGGCTCATGCTCACAGTTCTTGTTCGGTTGCCAGTTCCTGCCATAGAAAACAGAACGTATGAACGATGGGACAAGAAAGGGGGATCACCCTCCTCGGAGCAGTGAGTCCCTTCTGATTCATCCTCGTGTTTGTCCCCACCATATAGAGAGAGAAAGGCTGTCAAAGAGCTACTCCGATGGGTGCCAAGATGGAACATAGATGGGATGTCTACCCTAAAGCTTCTTGGTGATGGAAGAAATCGGAAGCTGGAGATCGATCCCGTCGTCTATGTAGAAGGCGTCACTGGTCTCCAAGATCATAGATCTCGACGGGAATGCTCCGCATGCACATCGTGGAGATCTTATAGGGCCCAAAGAACCGATCCACACCCCAAGATGCGGTGAAGACGATTATTCTAGATTTCAAGGTCGGAGACGAGGAGCAAGCTCTCATGGTCGTTCCCTATCATCACCTCATAATACGGAAACCAGTGGAGGAAAAGAAAGGGGAGAAATCCAGCGGAGGAGAGAGAGAGAGAGAGAGAGAGAGAGAGAGAGAGGAAGCGAGAGCGAAAGCGAGAGAGAGAGAGAGAGAGAGGAAGCGAGAGCGAGAGCGAGAGAGAGAGAGAGAGAAAGAGAGAGAGAGAGAGAGAGAGAGGAAGCGAGAGCGAGAGCGAGAGAGAGAGAGAAGAGAGAGAGAGAGAGAGGAAGCGAGAGCGAGAGAGAGAGAAAGAGAGTGAGAGAGAGAGGAAGCGAGAGAGAGAGCGAGAGAGAGAGAAAGAGAGTGAGAGAGAGAGAGAGAGAGGAAGCGAGAGCGAGAGAGAGAGAAAGAGATTGAGAGAGAGGAAGCGAGAGCGAGAGAGAGAGAGAGGAGGCCGAACCAGGTTCTATTGCAGAGAGGATCGAGAGGGCTTCAGATTCACAGCTGAAGTCCTCATCTGGAACTGATCGAGATGGTTTCTGATCGAGAGGGCTTCTGATTTCTACAGCAGTCCCTCTCTCTCTGCCTCTCTTCGCGGATGGCGGATTTAAGGAAGGGAGAGAATCGCCGTGCCATGACCCATGGAACATCGCATTGTTCGAATAAAATCAACGCGTTGACCTTCAAAATTATATCATTTTATATATTATTTTATATGCATCAATTTAATGATTTCAGAGTTTTCCGGCGGCCTGTCATCCCTTGAGGCAGAGAACAACAGGTTGCCATGCTTTCCCCGGGATCTGAAAAGCCATCCATTGAGGCAGAGAACAACACGTTGGTGATCGAAAGTCAATGCATCGGAGCGGAAGAATGTCCGCTTCCCCCATGTTGCGCACCATGTTCCTTGCTTCGCTTCCGTTACCGCCGCCGTCCGCCTCACTGCAGTAAGTAAGATACGGTGGAAGGTCATCGAGAATAATGCGTTGACCCTAATAGAAAAAAATAGATCATTTTATATATTATTTTACACGCATCAAATTTAATGATTTCAGATGCGTATTGAGTTTTCCGGCCGCCTGTCATTCCTCCCCCGGGGATCTGAAAAGTCACCCCTTGAGCCAGAGAACAACGCGTTGACAATCAAAAGTCAATCCATCGGAGCGGAAGAATTCGTCGGCTTCCCCGGTATCTCGCGCTGTGTGCTTTTGTCACACCCGAAGATTTTCGATTCCGGGTTGGTGGAGCGGATCCGCGACGGATCAACAACGGTTCTCAGTGGAGATGCAGATCGGGCGTCGGTTCGGGCGAACCGGCGGATCGACCCAGAAACCCGCTACATCCTCGTTTTGCAACGGCCTTACTCCAAGGACGTTTGGGAACCGTTGCCCGATCCGTCTGGAGATCCGCTTCACGAGCCGGAACCGAAAAGCTTTGCGTCTGACACTTGGAGTGAGGGTCTTGCAGAGCAATCGAATCGGACCTGCAAAGTTCCTTGCGGGCCCACGTCTATAATGGTAGAATGACCATTATACCCCTGATACGAGGTTCCCGCTCTGCTCCCAGCCTTCTCTACTTCCCAGCATTTCTCTGATCGGCCGCCCGTCACTGATGTTGCCCTCGAAGAGTCCACTCCTCTCCGTGGGTCTGCGAGGTTTCGAATATGTTTCTTCGCTCTATTCCTCAGGTCTCTCTCTCTCTCTCTCGGAAGCTCTGGCCCACATAGATTTTTCCTGAATCTGCGGACCCGCCCCATGTAATCTGAGGCAGGATGGGGGCCCAACCTGGACTCAGCCGAGCCACTAGAGGACTTAAGCTCGCCCAGAGAAATTTTGGGCCCAGAAGGCCCTCGGAGATCTCGACGCCAACGTATCCAGCCGGAAGCTGAAGAATTTTGTTTATTATTAGTTTGTTCAGAATACGAGAAGGTAACGCACATGAAACGAGCAGGTTTTCAGAATACGAGAAGATGTGCGGAACACAAGGAGACTTGGTTTTATCCGCCGTCTATTCCTTCTAGCGTATGTGTTTTCTGCACCGTTTATCCTATTTGCGAGCTCCTCGAGGTGCTGTTACGCAGTTTCTTCCAAGCTGAGGCCCCCTCCCCTGCCTGCTCGATGAATCCCTCTGCAACCCACTGTTAGACCAGCTTGGTGGCGTCGATCTTCATGTCCTCAGGGAAGAGCCCCATTGACAGGAAGCATATCTTCAGGTCGTTGCTCAGATCGTAATAGCTCAAACCTATTATGTTCTAGATCATCACGTTCCTTTCTGCGCTCAGTTCCTGGGTAAGACGCCCGCAGAGGACCTCCCACTTGGACACCCTCGTCTTCCTTTTGATCAGTAGGCCACCGAGAACGAGGACCGCCAGAGGCATGCCGCGGCATCTTCTCACCATCTCCTTCCCCACCTCCTCCAACTCTGGGGGACACCGCTCGCCGCTGGGACACACCTTCGCGCAGAACAATTCCGAGCTCTCCTCCTGGCTCATAAAGGAAAGTCTGTGAACTTCTCCCTGCGTGGCGACATCCTCAATGCGGGTGGTGAGGATTACTCTGCTCCCCGGGGAGGCCGTCATGGCGGAGTTTATGAGATCCCAGGCCCCCTCCTTCCATATATCGTCGATAACCAGCGGGCTCTGAGCTTCCCCGCCAGCTGCATGCCTTTCAAATTCCTGATCTCCTCCATCCCCTCCCCCTGGACGCAGTCTAGAATACGATGGTTGTCTTCCCTCCCATTCCCAGCACGGATATGACTGCGGGATTGACTTCAATGGATCGCTCGGCCTCTGGAAATCCCACGACGCTCAGCCCGTTGGACAGCGAAGCCTTATGCAGTTCAGACGTGGCTCGCACCCCAGAGGAACGAGTCATCCTGGTCGTAAATCTCGTGGATTTTCTTCCTGGTACTTTCGATGCGGGTGCCTAGATCGCGACGGACAGAGGTTTCGCCCACACAGACGAAGAACTGGTCGATCGAGAGATAAAAACTGTCGAAGATGTCCTCAGCTTTGAAGGCCGCTTCTATCAGCTGCTGGACCAGTTCGTGAACCATAGGTGGAACTTGAACTCTGTTCCTGTCAAAATCTGCGAGAGATCCGTTTATGAACCTGAGCTTGCTCTGCAGGGATTCGAATTGTGGCTTGACTTGGGCTTGCAGGTTGATTTCCTGGGAGAGCAGCTCGTCGAGCTTCTTCAGAATCAAACTGATGACTGGATTAGCCATTGCCTGCAAACTGATGGAGCTCGGGAGCGAAGAGAGTGAGAGTGAGAGAGAGAGATGTGACGAAAGGTCCGTGCTAGATGTAAAACTCTGCTAACAGAGGAACACACGAGCTGAGGATAGAGAACAGACAAGACGCCGGAAGGGATAACTTGATGGAACCACAAGGGTACAGAATAATTCTTCCTCCTTCCCTGGGTGGCGAGGGGCTATTCTTATAGCGGCAAGGTCTTCATCCTGCGCCCTTGCTGCCTGACAGCTTCTGTGCCTCGTCGCCTCTTTCCAGCCTTAATGGGCTGCCTTCAGCGTCGCCCTTCTCCAGGCCTAACGGGCGATTGTCAGTAGACAGTTGAAATCTCATGTCGGTTGAGATCTCTTCCCGCGGGAGGTTGATGCGACTGACCTGAACAGGTCCTACAGCTCGGTTACCTGCCATGAAAATGGCATGGGATGAGCAGTTCGGTGTAAGGAAAAGAAAGGGTAGAAATCCATCGGGGAAGAGAGAGCGAGAGAGAGAGAGAGAGAGAGATCATTCATTCTTTGACTCTTATTACATCTCCAAGGAAAAGTAGACGGCCATCCCGGGGAACCGCCTGCCGCGAAC